TCGACAAATCATACGGAGTCGTCATCATCCTTTTCTTCCCAACGAAGAAATGCCATTGATATAAATGATTCTGAAGTCTTACCTGATAGGAAGCAAAAAAAAATTAATCGTAATTTTCACTTTTTTTACAGCAATAAATAATCTTTGCTTTTCTTTTTAATAATAAAACTTTGATACTTTTCCTATGATAGCAGACAATTTTTAAAAATTTTTAACCTTTGATTGAGTAGTTTCAAATATTTCAGTAAGACTTCTGGATCATTCGGCGATTGAAGTTGGAAGTAATGAAGCCGCAAAGTCGGTTCTTTACTTTATTGGTTTTAAACAAACTTATTTTGATGTTTTTTACTGTTGATTTTTCTCAATACCTCTTATAATCTTTAAAAAATTATTAATTTAGAATACTGTAATTTTTTTCAAGCGCTTTCTGTACTTTACAAGTTTTTAGCTTTCTTTTTTTTTTTGTTACATCTGACTCATTTCTTTTAACAGAGTAAATTTCAAAAAAACAAAGAGTTCTGAGGAAACTGCTGATAGAGTTGATTTAGAACTCACCATTTTCAAAAAGTTCGACAACCGACAAGGTGTGTTCAGTGTGATGCATTTTCAATATTTTCGACTGTACAATGCACTCAATGTCGTTTGATGTGGCATAAATCTTGCGTTCCGCGAATCAGCATAACCTGTGATCAAAGTATGGGAGCCTCAGCAGAAAGTCCTAGGCGGATGAGTATCTTTGGAATTCCATTACATATTCATTTGGACGTTATAAAAAAACAGTGTCCATTAATCTTAGAATGCTGTATAGATGAATTACAAAGGCATGGCCTAAGAGTGAGGGTACGTTTTTATTACTTGACGTTGCCAAGCAATTTTAGTTATATTTGTAGGCAAAATCGTTGACTTTCTTCCGCAAGATTCTGATACAAATCGTTTTCAGCAAAGTACAGTTTATACAGTCTGTGAGTGCGTTTCAGGGTATATATCGAACATGCGGGGTAAAAAGTAAAGTAGAACAAATATGTGAAGAATTTGAAAAAGCGAAATCTCACAAAGACGTTAATCTTTCTGGCTATCATCCGATGAACATTGCCTCGGTGGTTAAACTCTACTTAAGACAACTGCCTCAACCTCTGCTGACTCAGGAATTGTATAGCGATTGGGTTTCATTTGCCGAGGTAGCCTCAATCGGTCTTTTAATCTGAAAATTTCTTCCCAAATTTTCAAACTAAGTTTACTTTCTCGAATTATCTGCTTAAAAGGTCTTCAGTTATACTGTGGTCAAAAAAAAATAAAAGTTTTTCCGGTACTAGAAAACGTAAAATATCAAGACCAAAATAAGTTTCTAGTACTGATTTAGAATAATCTTTCCGAAGTGGAATCGTGTGCCGTAGAAAAAATGAAAGGCCTGCTGAGAAAACTTCCTCCATGTAATTATACCACTCTGAAGTTCCTTTTAGTCCATCTTAATCGAGTAACGTGGTAAGCTTTTTGTTCTAGTCTAATAAAGGCATTTATTTTAAAAATTGTCGAAAACACTTTTGATTTATAACTGAAGCTGCTGACTTTGGCACAGTGTGCTAATTAGTGGACTTAGGTTCGAAGTGGATAACTTGATGACTGCATCAAATTTGGGTGCCGTGATTTCGCCGTCGCTCATATGGAAGCACCCATCGACCCCGCCGTCTAGCGATTCTTCGTTTTTCAATGATGCCCATTTGATGAGCAAAGCAGTTGAACTACTCATAAAATTAGCTTTTGTAAGTTTTTTTTTATCCATGTTGCATCTGTAGCGTTTTTTTTAATCCCAAATTTCTTTTTTCACTCAGAACTCCGTTAAACGATTACAGAAAAGCTGTTATTGCTATAAAAGTTACTTGAAACATTTTGTTTTGAAACCTACACGTCAAATTTTAATAATACAGAAAAATGTTAAGGAAGTGTTCGAACTTGATCGTATTGAAGACTGGAAAGCATTCTTCCAGAAGTACCCTGAATTGGAGGAACCGCAGTTGGTTGATCTTGAAAGTGAAGCTAGCATAACAGAGGAAGGTTCAATTTTAAAATGTTTTTTACTCTTTGACTGTTTATTCATTCCGCATTTCTTCCACTGACTCTGAAGTATAGAATGATAAAATTCATTTTTATTAGGATTGGATGATTCAATTGATTATGAAGATGCAGAAGGTTTGATATTCCAGCCTCAACCACCTACTCCAGATCTGCTAAAGAACACATCGCGGAGCAAGAAAGAATCATGTTAGTGACTTGGTTCCCCAACCCTTGAGATTTTTTATATTGTCTGCAAAAAAAATTTTATCCGGTAATTAGATAACCTCATTATAGATTCGGCAAGTGATGATTTGGACAGCCCTTTGGGTTCTACGGGTGAAGCGAGTGGATCTGGAAGTGGCTGTGCTCAACGTTTTTCATTCTCGTCAACAGTTCAACTGCGTGATAACGTTAATTTACCAAAAACTAAGCCAGAAAAAAAGCGTAGCTATACGACGTCCATTCTTGTCTCACCGAGGTCTGACAGGAAGCCGCAAAAATATAACTCAGTAGATGTCCCAAAGATAAGTAACCATGGCTCTAATGAAGTTGACTATGACGCTTTGGAGGTGGGTAAATAGTATAGTCATCGTATTTCTCAGTTCTTTTTTTTTCTTTGTTTTCTTACTTTGAAAACCTGGAGACAAAAGCATGTATTAAACAGTACTTAAAATTCCGTTTTTTTTTTTCTAA